GTAATCTTAATTGCTTCATTGCTTGGGCTTTTACAACGATCCTCTAATATTAGCCTACTTACAGGAGTTTAATTGAGACAAGGTTCTTCGGAATGGCGAACTTTAAAATTGCATAATTTACGTACATTTCAAATAAATTTTGTTAGCTTTTTATTTAAATCTGGTTAAACTTTGGTTAAAATTAATGCACTCGTCAATTATAACGGTAGAACGAGTTAACAAGAACAACAAAAAAAAAACATCGAGATGTTGTAAGAGTCGTGGATTGGTTAACATCGAATGGGATGACATCACCGTAATGTGCAATTTTAATGAATATGCAGAGAGCTGTTATTGTGAGAAAAATGTCACGGATTTTGGTTTGTTTCTTGCTTTTTTTGCTTGTTTTCTTCTAGTGCTCGTTAATGTGTAATTTATTTAGTCTCATCCGTTGATTTATATTTTAATAACAAATCCGTAGAGTCTAGGATAGAGAGAGAAAGAGTGCATGCATAAAAAGTGGCAGAGGAGAATAAATCTGGGAATGGTGGATGTGGTGGTAGTTGGTGCGCATCGAGTCAACTTGGAAAGTTATATGCCGGCGTTCAAAGAGGACAGTACTCGACGCCACAACTACACTAGAATGCACTTTTCTTCTAATCTATTTTAGCACTACACTTTGTCCACTCCGCGAAGAATTGCGCCGGAATATAAGAGACGGGGGTAGAAAAAGAAAAGGAAGAAAGTAGGGAGGGTGAGAAGTAAAGGACGGGGATGAAAACATATATAATTCACGAGGAAAACTGGAGAAAATCGTAGCTAGGAAAATGTACATTATTGCCTGGTGTCTAGATTCGTTTCTCCTTTTTTCTGCTTCTTTCCTTTCCATCGGATGAGTTTAGTGCGGAGCGGCCGTAAATCTCCTCACACTGGATATGACTTAAAGCGTTTGATTAAGTATCGTATTACGGGAAACAACCCCCGTTTCTGTTTGCTTTAGTATCGGATATGATTATACATTTAAATTATTAAGCGCGCAACAATTATAGTAACTCTAATTAAAGTACTGAACTGCACGGGAAGATATGTAATTTACATAAGATGTCTACAATTAGCGCGAACTGAATATGGATTATGCAGTGTTACGAAACATAATGTCAATATCGGAGAATCTCCAATTTCCTTGCCTATTGTTTGTGTTGATGTCGATGCAGAACTTAATCGGGATTTCGAATATCTGTCGCGCATTGTGCAGAGACTTGCACTATTAATTGTCTGTACCGAGTGCAGATGCATCATGTTACATATAAAAAAAATTATACACAAAAACGTTGTTTGCAACATTCAATTCCTAAAAACATGCAATAAACTGAGTTATTTTGAATCAAGTTTGGGATTTGCAATGTGAAGGACAGTTTTTTTTAATCTTTGTAAATATTCATTTCAATCTGATCATTCGGATTTTAGTTTATTGACGATATAGAACAGGACTCTAAACACTATCCACTGGGAAACCTGATTCAGCTGCATTTAATATTTGATAACATATTGTGGGATTACTGCAGAGAGTCCAAACAATATGGTTTTTATTTTGTTTTGTCGAATGAAATAAGCAGTTGTGAAACGGAAAAGCTTAAAATATCGAGTGGTATTCAGTCTGACAGAGCCGTATTATTTCCCCATTCATTTATAAAATTTTCTTTTTGTTTGCGCGCCCTCTGCATCCTTTATTTGCGGATGGTTGTCGTCGAGGCGGCATTTTATTTGTGCGTCGCACTCCCATTTTTCTATAAAATATGTGAACGTCTACGAGGGTTCAGTGTGTGTGTATGTGCATGTGCGAACGGCGAGGGGTTGCAGAGTGTGTGGTACAGGAAATTGGATTCTCTGGTCTGCGGATCGTCTCGGAATGTGTGAGCCAGAGATGGCTGGGGCGGCGGAGAGTGGGTAGTTTAAGGTGGTGGCGGCGGCGTCGGTGGAGACGGCAGCCGGGAGAAGGTGGCTCGAACGGCGGGGGGTTGTTAATCCCACGGTTTATTACTGCGCGCGCTCCTTATTATCACAGGGCTACCGTCATTCCAACGAGTGCAAAATAAATTGCAGAGCAGCCCCGGTGCCAGCAGCATCCAACCCTCCTCCGTCGCCCCGTCTCACTGCCTTACCAACCGTACACCACCCATGCAAACACTCACTTCGAAATATTTATTATCCATTTATCGATATTTATATTTCATTTACCCTCTAAAAGGATAGCAGCACAACGTTACTCCAACAAGTTTAAATTTCCCACAAAAATGCATTGAAAACGTAAACCCATACAAACCTCTAATTGCTATCGAAATCAAAGTTTCTCAACATTGATTATTAACGCCCTCTTTTGATTACTTGTAAAAACAATAAAATTAGTTTTTTATATAATTAATATGAAATATTTAGAGTTTTTATATTTAAAGCAGTAACATTATCAAAACATCCATTAACAGTTAAAATATTATGTTTTCAGTAGATCAAAGATTTTAAGAAATTGGGAATTTAATTTTAGGATCATTAAATTTAGTTAATCTTCAATGAAACGAAGCTGATTATATAAAATTATTTAGTAAATATTTAATTTCTCAATTATTATTAATTTTTCTTTTCAAAGTTATTAGGCAAGTATGGAATTTGAAATTATTTAAAAATATTCACAAATCTTTGTAATATCTGAAAAAATACGTTATATTTTAAACGTGTTTATTGCGTTTAGATTGATATTATATAGAAATGTTGGAAATGATGTTCTTAATGTAGTTTGTTTGGTAGATGAAACTGGCTTCATTGGTAATAGCTGGAGAATACAAACAGGCCAGAATATGGTTGAACTTTAGTGTGTTGCCAGGTCTGCGTCTCGGAATGAATAATAAGGATGCCCATAAAATTCTTTAGTCTGTTAGTTGACCAGAAAGGGAAATAGATATATTTTCGGACCACATCGCACCACCCCAGAGTTGTGCGATGGAAGATGTTATCCGGCTTTAGGTGAGAGATAGAGATAGACCAGAGGGCGAGCACCACACCACACGTAAAATAAAATAGTAACCGCATACATGCATGTGCGATGCACTTTGGGGGATATCCGATCACATGTATACGTGCTGAGAATGCACAACGTTCTGCTATTGTTACGTGTCGTCTCCCATCTCGCACAGGAAGTCTCATTGTTACACGAAGACAGCGCGATTACATCTGACAAAGCTTTTGTTACGATTCAATAAACGCTTATTTATATTTTGAAGAACGACGGAAGAAGAGAGAGAAAATAATGTAGAGAATTTAACTGGAAATAAGCAGTTAAAGAGGAAGAGGGCCCTTTACCTCGTAATTATATCGTCTCAAAGGACGAATCGTTTGACCATGTTTCATTTCCCAAAATTACTAACCTTTATGACCAGTAGCAGCTGCAAAAAATCACTGAAAACTTTCAAGTAATGAAAAAAAAAGAGAAAAGAATCAGGTAATGGAAATATTAATTTCACAATATGCTGATGTTACTTTTGTTCAATTTTCGCACGAACGTAAATGTTGGCTTCTCTTACACCAAGTTTATAATCTCTTTAAGGACTTTTGGTCTTCTTTTTTTATGTATACTTCTTTAGTTTCCTTCTTGTTGGTGGATTTAATTCCTTCAAATTGGATTACGCGGAAGGATCTCATTTAATGATCAACAAGCAACTTTATTTTATAGGCGATTATGTTTCGAGCTACGCAAAAAAAGGAAAGCAACGTAAGAAAGTTTCCCTTTTAATCGATTGATATGAATTGTCCTTTAATTGGTACAATTGTCTGAAGGATAAAATATAACTGTACGAACGATACAGAAAACTTTTTAGCTACGATTAATTGATATTAATTTTAATTTAACTGCGAAGTTTGCAACTTACGTAATAATTGTTAAAAGCGAAGGAATGAATACATTCTTTGCGAAATAGCCGTCGATTAACCGAAACGTAATACTTTCATAGCTACGTATCTCTTGGGTAAGGTGTCAATGACAGCTGGCAGCGATAGAAAAAAAACCTTTTGTGAAAATATGTTATTCGAACATAATGCCATTATGGAAACCATCAGCTGTCGCCTTTTTTGGGTAGTTTCCACTCGAAATGCATTGAAAATAGATTTTTTCCTTGCAGCTGATAAGAGTTTGCCCTAGTTGATGTGTTTCTAAGAAGCGAATTATTACTTCTGCTCGGCGCATTTATCAAACGTTAATTAATGCTCACGTGTGTTCGTGGAAAAAAAGGAACAGGGAAAAAGAATGAAATTTATTTTCACCGGAGGAATTGCATATTTGTCATCCGACCACGCCTGGGCATGCACACTTAATCTCTTCGGAGCAGAAGGAAACAATGCCTTCGTCTAAACAAATTTAATTTAATTCATGCATCCACTCTTTTCGCAACGATTAATCACGAAAGGAAGTTGCATAAGTTGGCGTAGGTGAGGGTTTGTATTCAAAAAGAGAGTGAATGAAAATGCCCACGCGTCGTGGATTGCGATGAAGGAGTAGGGAAGGAAGGAGTTAAGATGAGAAAAAATAAATCATAAATAAAACGGTGCTTTAATGAGATGCCATTTGCTACTAGCACTGCCCATTTTTATCTTTCCTTCCTCTTCACTTTCAAAAACCCACCGACTTGCGGAATTCTTAGCTCTCTGCATCATATTGCTTTTGCTGGTGCAGATCATTTGGAGCGTAGGAGAACCAAAATGCATTGAAACGCCTACTTCACAGATTTTGCTTATTCTTGCAAGAAAACGTCGTTATTCTTTATTTCCATTCTTCCTTCTATTGTGCGGATGTACCGTTAGGAGCCAAATGGCAATATACTTGCTTGCAGAGAAGAGCGAATACCTAGCAAGGTTACTCGCTTTCCAGATGGCAACAGACAATAATAATAAAGATGATGATGATATCGTCGGAATGTTTAAATTTCAAACACCTTGAGTCATTTTATTCACCTCATGTTTCTCTTTTTTTTCAGGTAAGTGTTGAGCCTATCCACCAATACCATCTTACATTTGTGCTGAACGTTAAGATCAAACCATGAAAGGTAAACTCATTTTTTATCTACTTTTCAATTTAATATGTTAACTTTAATTATTATCAAATACATTATTTTATGTTATCACACATAAAAATATTTTAATTCCATTTTTTTTTTTTTTTTTTAACATTTGATGTAGGAATGTAACTTTAGTTTGATTTGGTAATGAAGGACATAAAGTGTAATAGTTAATCCGACCTAGGCTAACGTAACTTGAAACTATCTAGTAGTATTTTATAGGAATGTTAAAGTCGGAGATGAAAGCAGTAGGTCATGTGGAAAGAAAAAAATAAATGTCTACAGAAGATAAAACGTCAGGTCGCAGCATTATTTTTAGTCTGAAAAAATCTTCTATGCATTATCTGCGCTTAGGAAGGACTATGATCTAGGCCGAGCATTATACATTGATACGCCTGTGACCCAATTTCCAATCTACGAACTATAAATGATAATTGGAATGCTGAGACTGAGACTCTTTCTTCTCGGGACACAGTCTTCTCAGTTCCCAGATCTATAAATATACACAATTATTAACAATTTAATTTTTTTATATTCACTTGATCCTTTTTTTGCGTAGCTATTTCCGGTTTTGCACATAATTAATGCGCGCGCGAATGTTGCCTGTGTCACTCCTGTTTCCTCTCTCGAGTTCTGTTTCTCTCTTACCTTCTGCATAACATGCAATAATAACAACAACAAAAAACGTAGAGGAAAAATAAGTAAATAAATAAAAAATAACCTATCATTACGTCTACTTGCAGTGGTTACAACCTTGGTCGGTCGGCCGAGCGTCCTTGCGCGAAATGCTGTAAACTCGGCTTTATGATCTGCAGCACATAAGTTTATGATCGTTTTGCATCTTGGCGCCGGAACTAAACGCGCATAAGTTCTCGAACCGAAAATAATGGAAAAAAAAAATGCGAGAGGAGGAAATATCATATCGCACAGGATGCGACGAAAGGACGAGCGCGAAACGACTAAAATAACAATACAAACGAAACAAATAAATAAATATATGGAACTCACTTATGCAATTATTCGAAATGTATGCATCATCAAATCGCTCGAGCAGTTCGAAAACAGGATGAAAATGTTTGTTATTAATAGTCCCGAGTTAAATGATCTGTTTTGTAATTGATAATGTTGCACTATCATAATGTGTATATTATTAGACGCGCACAAAGCTCGGCATGACTCGATTTCAATTGATGCTGTCTGCCTTATGGTGAAGATTACAAAAATTAATAATAATCATCGAGCGAAGAAAATAAAAGTAAGATTTTGTATTGCAAATGCATTTTTTTTTTGTATAATATCTTACAATCTATTATAGTCGAGTAACCTTGCATATCATAATTAATTGAATTTTAAACTTCCCCAGTCTCTTATTCTCAATGTTTATCTCAAGACGCTTTACAATCCGGCTTAGCAGCAGCCAGTAGCTTTGGGAGACTGGTAAACAAAGGTTGACCTTGAGACCAGTGTATTTATCTTATCGTTAACCGAGTTTTTGTTTCAGCGCCAACGACGTTATTAATCACTGTACCTAATTAACATTAGTGCATTGCACAGTTGAAATAATTAAAAAATTCTCATAATCATAATATATCACCATCTAATTATTTAGCAATAAATATTCAATCATATGAGTTTATTATATAATCAATCAATCAATCAAATCACAATGTGAATAATAAGAAAACAAATTGTTGTTTTTGTATGTGAACGCGTGTGTATGTTTGTATGTGTTGCGCGATGCAAGGGATGCAAGCAAACCCTATTGGTTGCACATGTAACGCGCTGTTCGCGCTACGGATTATTGGTTTTAATCCGATGTAATTCCGGTGGTGTTCTTGTTACCGATATTACCGATAGCCGCACGATTATATTGTATCAATTACTTGCACAGTTCGGATGGAATTAGTCCTTTAACTACGCCCCATTTACTCACTTACAGTCGCAGCGCACAAACTCATCACATCATTATTATACAGGCCAGAAGAAAATCACATATTCGATTGATCACAATTATCCTTACCGTCTGTACGAGAGGCAATTAAATTTTAATTGAAATTTGATTCATTTCGCAAATTTTACTAACAGCAGAATTTCTCAAAAATGTAATAAATTTCATAAAAAGGGAACGGCTTAAGAAATGTTATATGATATTTATTTAATATGTACATTAGTTCTTTTTTGGTTAATCATAGCTGCTTTTCGGTGTATCATTTGATATACACTATTTATTTAATCCGTTTAAATATAGAACGGAGTAGGACATTTTTTGGCAAATAAAAGTGTGGGGTCATTAGCCATTCCTCACTTTATCTTATTACGAAACAACACGTTATTTTGGTCGGAGGACCGAATTGCATAAGGATTACGTCTCTCTTTCTCTCACAATTCGGTCGAGATGCGATAATAAAGATCACACTTTGTGGGGCCATCTAAAAGCCTGGTGGCGCACGGAGGGTCGCATAAAGCACATTTTCTATTAAACTCCGGGAGGAGTCAATAATTAACGAAGCCGCCGCTAAATCTTAAATTGCATAATGCACCTCGGGTCCCCAAGTATCAATATTCCAGTATGCATTACACGGGCAGAGACATGCATAAACTGTATGATCTTTCTTTTGTTCTTGTTGCGGTCTAGCATCTTGAGAGGGGAAATTAATTTAACTATGGGATGCTTATGGATTATTACCTAAAGTGCTTGATAAAGTTTTCTTAAGTAAATTTCAACCGTTAATATATAAAAAACGGATGAGAAAAAATACATTTGTTGTTTCATATAGTAACATATAAATAAATTCACGTGTTTCATAGCAATATACTAATTACATGACAACCTCTCAAATAGTTCAATTACAAAAAATATAATAATACTGTTAGCTAATATATAAAATACATTGCAATAGATTGTAAATAAATATTATACGATATATTTTTTTTTGATAGAATTTGGAGAGATAAGTTTGTAAGGCAATTTAACAAGAATATTTTCCTTGTTATATTCGTTTTGGTTTTCGTGATGTGATTTGCGGTGGACGAGGAAGAAGAATACGGAGCGAGCGAAGTAAATTAAGTAGTGTGGCTTGAGGGGTAAAGCTTGGCTGAAACCCCTTCTTCTTCTACGACGACGTCCTCTCTGGGGGGTTGAGGGAGTCTGCGGTAGACAGGCAATGTCCTGAATTAAATTTCAATCGGCTGACGGTGGAATAAATAAGGCTACTGAAAATGTGCCCCGGAGCCACCTGATTATAGGCAATGACATTTCTGTGCTGTAGATGAAAAATACGATTTAGATGGATGCATACGAGTGGACTAGCTAAATGCAAGTGACTGCATGATTTTGGATGTATCTATAAACGAATTGGAAAAATATATTGAATGCCTAAAGACATTTTGTCTTCGATTATGGACATTTTCTTATTGCTCTTGCTTCAATTGAATTCCCGATTTATTCCAAGTTCTTCAACATGACGGTTGATTGCTTTTGGTAATGATTTTATAACGCAATAACACGTGTTTGAAAGGTGAAACGTTCCAAGATTAGATTGAATGAAAACTGATAGAACTTCAACATTTATAAAAATAACAAAAGCTATTTTGGCAACACTCCTTTTATGACATTATAAATGAATGTTGACTCATATTTTTTATGAATAGCACTGTTTTTTCGGTATATTCTGCCAATAAATCGTACTGTTAGAATAGAATTTGATTTTTCTAAATTTTAAATTTGACGTATATGAAAATATGATCTGAAGGCATATCCCTGTTACAAATTTAAAAATGTGATTTTGGTTGGAGAGGATGAGAGGAAAAAAGGAAGAGAGTCCAGGGTGTATGGTGCACTATAGTGGATATGTGTGTTGGTGTATCTCAAGTTTCCTCATTGTTACACACGGGCAAAGACCAATGATCCATGGAGCGCTGGTGAGGTGAAGAACCGCGTCGGCACGCAAGGAATGTAACAAGCTTCTCTCGACCGCTGACGGACAATAAGGCCACCGCAGCGGTTCCACATTGCAAGATCAAATAGACTGGCCTAGTCAAATAAAACGCCGACTACGGCTCCTCCTCAGCCACTTCGCTGCTCTTCCCTTGGACAACGTACAATCACCCCAAAAACCACTCACAGTCATTGCACATATTTAAAATATCGAGGAGAAAGCGTAAAGAACCGGATCTCTTCGGATGCGCCGAAAATGGCAGTTTAAATATAAAATCGTCCCCGTTGCGTCACTCCGCAGACATAGCATCAGCTGCTGCCGCCGTCGCCGCCTCCGCCTTTAAAAATAGGCCTAGGACCGTTCATTTCCTCAGCGAAAGCGCGAGATGAGCCCACCTCGGACTTGGAGCTGATTAATGGTTCGGGTTTCGTCTCGGTTATCTAATAACTGCATCTCGGTGCCAATAAAAAGGTCGTTGTCGTCGTTTTTGAAATTCGCCACTCGTCCGACGCCCTGGCACACGGACAGAACGCATTCCCGCCTCATCATCTTCCTCCTCTTTTCATCCCAACTCAATAACCGCATACACCCTATTTTGTAATAGCATCATAGCATAGCCTTCAGGCTATAGCAAAAACAACGTCCATTCCTAATAACTAGGTAATAACATTTACACTTTTCGTACCACCCAGACAATTTTATACCATACACGTATTGATTCCATCCAATTCAATTACCCCACTCACTACTCCCTCATTTTCACATTTGTTCCTCAAAAAAAATCTTCCAATTTTAGTAAATGAAATAAGTCCGACAAGACATATTTATATGGTTTAATCCAATTTTAGTCCAACTTGAGATTGTTATAAAGCATTTCAAGACTAAAATTGAGTTATACAAATCTTTAAAATAAATAATAAATAAAATATTGCATCCTAGAAGCTGAACAAGAAAACTCAATTTAAAATCGTTCACGAAGACATAAACATGTCATTTAGATTCTAGAAGATTCTTAAAATAAATAATAATAAGTGTTGATTTGATTAGCGT